GAGAGAGAGAGAGAGACTCGGGAGAGCAAATTAAAAATAATATAGAGTTGAAGCCACGCGTTTTTAGTCGAAATTATCGTAATTGTTGTACGAAAAGTAATTTCGAAACGCCCTATGTATATTACACGGTGGTATACTTTAGCATTCATGAATAAGCGGAGATTCAATTAGAGCCATTTATTCTCGGCGCAGAATCAAAGCACGTTGTGCAAATGCGGGGCGAGGAACGTGTTGGAACGCGGCTAGAACCCGGTTACATTGTGCTCTCGACATGGGTTACGACGTGTCGAAGAGAGTTTCGGGGTCAATTAAAAGTTGGTGGAGTCTTTCATGTCTGTACGGAAGAAAGGGCGTTAGTCGCAGAGACGTAATAGGAATCCCTGGCGAGAGACCATCCCGTTTCTCGTCATATTTCACATTTTTTTTTTTTCATAGAAGCAAAAAAAATTTGAGAATTGCCCTATTAGAATTAGAAGTAGTTTTTTGTCATCCAAACTTTTACTCAGCAATATCTTTCCTCGGTGAAAGTCAAGTATCATATTATTTATTTGTGAAATTTGAATAACAAGTGGCAAAGCTCGTTCTAACAAAAGCTTTCGATATTTATTGGATTATGAACCTTATGGCTGAGGAACCTAATGCCCCCTTCCTCCTCCTCCTCCTCCTCCTCTCTCTTCCGACATCACGCTGAAAAAGATAGCCGAAATCGATTTTTAATACGACGAAAAGTAACGCTACGTGTTTCCCCCCTCATTCCAGGACATCCTGAATGTTTTTCAAAAATCGGCGGCGTCGACGTCATCGAGAGCGTCGTAGTCTCGCTCGTCTGACGATCGTCTAGTTTCCGCGATCAGTACTCGAGATATTTTTACGGCTTCTCCACTCTCGCTTTCGTCGCCCGCCCTTCCCGCCACGGCGGTTTTCCCGGAGATCTTACCATGGGTAAAGGTCTCTCTCTTCATGCTCGCGTTTTACGACGTCGTTCCGCGATTTTATATCGCGGACGCCGCGGCGTTTCACCGATCGGGAACGAGTCGAATCGCGCTTTTACGGTACCGCCCTCATGAAAATGATCTCACTCCGCTTACCGGTTACCCCGTTCGCGCCGATCGTAATATTATCAGATGTTACGCAACGCCGATCGTAACGCCAA